GAGAGATTAGGTTTTTAGGGAGAAAAAATTTAATTACTCATATTGAAATAACAAGGCAGAAATTTAATTACTCTATACGTAAGGTAGAAATTTAATAATAAAGGATCTCAAATTCAAATAACAAGGTCTTAGGTTTCTGAATTTGATTGCATAACGTGTTTTAAGTACTCATATTGAAATAACAAGTCCTTGATAATCCATCGCAAAAAAGGTCACCCCTTGGTTTGAATATTTTTTTTTTTTGTCAAATTTTGGGGGATACTCGAGAAAATAATATATGAACCAATTCAAAAATAAAAACCACTTTGTAGAGGTTTTTTCTTTTTCTTTTTTTTTTGATGTTTTTATAGGGGACATTCACTAGGGGCCAAGTGGACGTGTGTGCAAAAATGTCCCAAGCAAAAAACATCTAAAATCAAAAGTTGCGGAGACGAAACTTGTACAGCATTAGCCTAAAGGCGAACCCAACCAACCCAAACCCCACAACCAGAAAAAAAAATAAATAAATAAAAAACAAAAACAAAAATAAAAAACCAAAATAAAAAAAATACCACCAATGAAAAAAAAAAAAGAACACCACACACACACAAGGGACATTTATATATTGAATAATGATCCTATGAGACCCTCCCACACCTATGTGTGTAGGACCCCAAAGGATCACCATTAAATTTGGCACAGATCTCTATAAAAATTATCATTTAAGTGTGGGACTTGACTTTTCTAGAGATCTGTGCTAAATTTAATGGTGATCCTTTGGAGTCATACACACATAGGTGTAGGAGGGTCTCACAAGGTCATTTCCCTTATATATTATCCTATTATGTTTTCTATATAGAAAACTTTTATATAGGGCATCAACCATGTACTATAGAAGTATAATGGACCTCAAAAACCCCTAGAACAAGTTGTTCCAATGTTAGAAAACTCTCCAATTAGTCATTTTGACTTCAAGATTTATGGATATGAAAATAAAGGATTTATTTGAAATCTTTAAAATATTACATCTTGTTATATATTATGGACTATCTATTTTCAAGTATTTATAAATATGCTTAGTTTCTATCTTTTTTGGAGATTTAAATTTCATAATCGGGGTCAATAGTTTTCATACTATTATAAGAATTTTACACATCGAGGTTACATATTTTGACAAGGTTTGGATGTGTGCTTTATTTCGATTTTTTAAAGTATATAAAACGCAACCGTTTATATATTTGTTATTATATAATTTACTTTTGATTTGGATCAATTCTAACCAGGTGGGTCGAGTCTGGGTCAACCTTGAACTCCTTGCGCTCGTTGCCAACCAATGGTGTCTCGCAAATCTGATTAGATAATTTGTCTTCGGCATTCCTCAGTTTATATTACATGAAAGACTTGGTTAATGGGGCAGGTAAAGTAAGGAAAGAGTTGTTCCACTGACCTTGTCGTTAATTTAAGGACATTTTTATATTATTTCTAAAGAAGATTAGGTAGAATTATTGTGGCTTGGTCAAATTAGTAGATGCTAATTCAACAAGTATACTCCTTCAATTTCAAAATATTGGCCCATGACTGATTCAGATCACTTCCTCTTTAGCCTTATAAATCCACACAAGTTTTACCTCTCCAGGCATAAGCAGAGAGTTTAGATAGTGCTCGTCTCCATCAACATTTGGCAAAAATGAAGCTCTTATTTCTCGCTGTCTTTCTATACTTGACGGCATCTCATGTCTCTGCATCCGATCCGAGTCCCTTGCAAGACTTCTGCGTAGCAGACAATTACAGCAAAGGTACTCCTCTCATTGAAAACAAGAACAACAACTACAATTTCTTATTGGCAATGCATCCATTTTTACATAAAAAAAAAAAAGACAAAGAAGAATTAAAAGCTTAGTGTACAGCGGAATATTCAATTCTGCAGTATTTGGATGCCCAACATGCTAACCACATTTTTCTCTTTGGTTTCCCATGCAGTGTTTGTGAATGGAAAAGTTTGCAAAGACCCGAAGTTGGCGACAGCAAATGACTTCTTCTTTGCTGGGCTTGACAAGCCGGGCAACACCAGCAATCCTGTGGGTTCGAAGGTCACCCCGGTGAATGTAATGCAAATTGCTGGGCTCAACACTCTGGGCATCTCCTTAGCACGCATAGACTTTGCTCCTGGTGGCCAAAACCCTCCCCACACACACCCACGTGCCACCGAGATCCTCACAGTCTTAGAAGGGACCCTTTATGTCGGCTTCGTGACCAGCAATCCCGAAAACCGTTTGATTAGCAAGATACTGAACAAAGGAGATGTGTTTGTATTTCCTGTGGGCCTCATTCACTTCCAGCAAAATGTGGGTTATAGCAATGCAGTGGCCATTGCAGCTTTGAGCAGCCAGAATCCAGGGGTCATAACCATCGCTAATGCTGTGTTTGGAGCCAACCCACCTATCTCTGATGTTGTTCTTGCAAAGGCCTTCCAAATTGATAAACAACTGGTTGATAAACTTCAGGCAAGCTTCTGGATGGATAATAACTAAAATAAAGGTCATGGGGGCCTCATTACTACTTGATAGAGATTTCCCATGTAAATTTCATTTGTATCATCTTTTTAATATTTTGATTTCTTGTGGTGTGTCGACCGCTATATAATAAAATTGGTCATTGGAATAAATTATATCACTTTGGAGATACATTTTTAATACATCAACAGATCTACTGCATATGCTTTTCGAATAATAGGTGGTGTTCGTATAAGATTTGCCCACCGTATACTCTACAAGCACGGCATGCTTTGAAATTTTGCCCAAAGATGTAGTTCTGGTATCGGAAACTTTACAATGGTTTGAAAATCTATATTCAACCTTAATTGTGAAATTTACATTTTCAGAAAACATGTAAATTGAGCAGATCTATAAACCCTCAAAAATCTTGAAAATAGACTATCCAAATAACTTGTTGCATGATGCACTTTTTCTAGGCATCAAAAATTTTTTTTTTTTAATTTCCATCTTCGCGAGGTCGAGATAGTCAATTGAAAAAAGGATTTTCAACTTCCAAACACTCTTGTCTACTGGATTTTTAAAAGTACTTCTTACTTCTGTGGAATAAGGTTGCAACTTTACTTCTATGGATATCAATTTTTTTCATAGTAAATATTAGGAAAAATTTCGTATAGAACCCCAATTCCTCGTATTATTTCATGGTAGACCCTCCATCTATTTTTCTTTCAAGCAGCATAAGAAAACCCCTAAGGATTTCACCGTACCCCCGCATCTCTTATCTCCCTCTTTTAACCCTCTTTTTCCCTTTCCACCTATTAAAAAAGTTTTTAGGTTGAAATAGTATAAAAAGATTTGTTGGGGCTTATTTTTATGATTAAAAGTCAATAAAATAGGGTGATAAGAGATGAGGGGATACGGTGAAATCTTTAGGAGTTTTTTTATGTCGCTTGAAAGAAAAACAGAAGGACGGTCTACCCTGAAATAATATGAGGACTTAGGGTTCTATACGAAATCTTTCATAAAAATTATGACTGTCTATCATAGTATTGTGAAGGCCTAGATTTAAGAGCCTAGGGATGAGGTGTGATTTGGGGGTTAAGAGTATGGAAATTGCGTAGTTTGGGAAATCTATGGAAGGGAGGTTTGGCCTGGGTTTTATATTTAAGTTCCCTAAGAATGACATTTGTTTGGGAACTAAGGGGCCGTTTGCGTCCTTGTACATCTATTTCACGAAGTTATCTTAATGTCTTTTTAAATATTTAAGAAATTCTCCAAAAAATTAGATTTTAAATTCATATCAATTTTCTCAAACTGTTTTACTTTTCTCAAATTGCATCTACTTTGGACCATGAAGGTCTAAAGTTTATCCCCCTCTTTTTTTATTAGTTGCTCTTAAACTTATTTTGAAGCTTCAAGATCTGAAGTTGTTTCAAAGACCAAAATGCCTGAAGTTGGTTTCAATTCTCACAAACGTCTATCAAAGCAACATCAAACCTTCAAGGTCTAATATTGATTTATTTGAACAAAACCCAATTTTGGGCCTTGAAGGTCCAAATTTGATCTTTGGAACAACTTCATAACTTTAATGTTCAAAGTAATTTATAAGAAAAAGAGTGTTTAAACTTCGGACTTTTGAGGTCCAATATGAAGGTCCGAAGCAAAAGTGATTTGAGTAAAAATGAAGGAATTTGAAAATATATGGGTTTGAAAGTAAAAATCAAACTTTTTGAAGAGATTTCTTGAATAATAGAAAATTAGATGGACATTAACTTTAATTTCTCCATTTATTTCTAGAACCTTTTGTAATATTATTTTGTGAAAATATAGCCTGCTGTTTGGCTCATGATTTAGAAGAAAAGCACCAACTCACTTCTCACTTGAAACCCCACCTCTATAGAAAAACTCGCTTCTCTCCCTCCATTATTTGCAACCCCACTCACTCCTTTGAGACTCTTCTCTATGCTAGATCCTCTCGCTCAACTCTCTCTATATCTTTCTCTCTCTCTCTCTCTCTCCATTTGCTCATTCTTCTCTCGTAGCTCTCATTAAATCCCAATATGCCCACTCCGCTTTCTCTCCCTGCTTCACCTGGGCACCCAATAATCCTTGAAGACTCTCAATCTCTACAACTCCCAAAAATCCTGCTCTTTTTGCCCTCAGCCCTCAAAGATCCTCAATCTCTACAACTCCCTAAAAATCTGTTCTTTTGCCCTAAATCATTGATGGCCTTCAATCTTTCGAGTTCTAAAAGAACCCAAACTTTGATGAAACTACTGGTTTTTTCCACATGACTTGTTTACTTTATGGTTTAAGTCTAGATTTGTTTTCATTGCGAAGTAGGCTCCCTAGATTTTTGTTTCATTAATTTGAAATTTTTCCTCCACTTTTCTTTGTAAATAGCATTGTTCATTAGGACTGCTTGCTTCTTGCTTGGGCATCGAACTCAGCCCATGCCCAAACCAAGTTACTCGGCCATGTCCCCGTGGATTTAACAAAGGACAAGTCCCAGTGGATTCAACAAAGTAGTGTAACCTTTGGGAAAACAAAAATAATAATAAAGATGTTGATTCCCACCTTTTGAAAAAGAGAGAATAAACAAAAAAAAGTATGAGGGAAGCAAAAGTATCGTGCTCGAAGCCCGAAACTTGTATCTCTCCTCCACCAAAAGAGAAGCCCTATCTTTTCTTGCTCCCTTGATCTTCTACTTTCATGCCTTCTTCCTCTTTTTTCCTCTTTTTTTCTTTTTATGATCAAGCTCTAGAGAAAGGGGCACAATGCAAATCTTCCCCTATTTAGAGTGAGATAAAGAGAAAGAGGCACAATGCAGATCGTCCCCCATTTACAATGAGATAAACAGGGGGCAGGAACTGCTTTCCAATAGAGAAAGAGAGTCAGATGTTGATTTGTCTTGTATTCCAAGATAAGTCTTAGTTAGGTTTTCATATTTTGTTGGCATGTGAAACTTAAATTTCAAGAAAAAAATAATTTTTTGGATATCTCTAAATTGGCAAGAGAGGCATGACGTGACCTCTATTTGGGTTTCCGAATTTTTGAATAGTTCCTATTATTTAGGATAATTATCTTTTTGGGTTAGTTCTAGTTATGTTGGGATAAACATGAGAAATCATACTAGACAAAGATAAACTTATGTACCCAAAATTTATGGGAAAAAGATAGAGCCCCACGTACCTCTTTTCGAGTGGTTGCTTTTTTATATATTAGGTTATTTAGAAAGAGAAAAAAAATCTAAAAAAATAGAAGGAAATTTTTTGGAGTTTTGTAGAGAGAGAAAATTTTAGAAAAGAAGGCTTTATGGGAGATTGAGTCTCCGGTTCTCAAGTAAGTTGCCTTGTAATTTTTTTTCTTTGATTTAGTAAAAAACATCCATCGTCTTCACCCATGGATGTAATCACATCTGTGACGAACCACATAAATCCTGGTATTCTTTTTTTTTTTTTTTTCTGCTTTATTTTTGTTGCTTGTTGTTTGTTTTTGTAGATTCCTTTTCTCGTACTTTATTTGTCAAAAATTAACCCATTGAGTTTAGAGCTTATGCGCACAACAAGTGGTATTAGAGCACGGTTTGGGGTTGTCGGTATGGTAGAAAAAGTTTTGAATGCAAAATTCAAGGTAGAGAAATTTGATGGCAAAAATAATTTTGGAATTTGAAAATTTAATATTCAGGATTTGCTAGTGCAACAAGGTTTACATAGAGCTCTGAAATGAAAGTCGGAGAAACCATAATCCATGTCTGATGAGGACTGGGAAGACTTAGATATGAAGGCCATGTGCACTATTTGATTGTGCTTATCGAGTGAAGTGTTATTTAATATCGTCAATGAGGATTTGGCATCAAATCTTTGGTCGAAGCTTGAGAGTATGTATATGATGAAGTCCCTCACAAATCTAACGTTATTTAAGCAAAAATTGTACACCTTATGGATGAATGAAGGTACAGATATTCATGAACACTTAAATTATTTTAATAAAATTATTTGTAAATTATTGAATATTGGTGTTAAAATGGATGATAAGGATAAGGCTATATTTTTGTTATCCTCACTGTGTCATTCATATGAGCATCTAGTCACAACATTGCTTTATGGAAAAGATATCATAAAGATGGAGGATGTGACTTCGACTCTTCTCTCTAATAATTTGAGAAAGAGACAGGATAATGCTCAGCCATGCAGATGGTTTAGTGGCTATAGGGAGATTTGTTGGTACCTTAGACTCCAATGGCTACAAATTTGTTGGAGAAGGTGGAGTTCTGAAGATTCTTAAAGGTGCTCTGATTGTGATGAAAGGCAAAAAGATTAGACCGAATTTATATGTGCTGCATGGGAATACTATCACAGATAGAGCAGCAATTTATGTATCTGATGATAATGATACTAACTTGACTCAGTTGTGGCATATGTGATTGGGCCACATAGGTAAGAAAGGTTTGGCGGGACTTAGCAAACTCAAATTGATCAATGGCATGAAGAAGTGTAAGTTGGACTTATGTGAGCACTGTGTTTATGGTAAACAGTGTAAGATACAGTTTCAAACGTCAAACATACCACAAAAAGATATTCTTGGCTATATTCATTCAGATGTTTGGGCCCTGTATCGGTTGTCTTAAAAGGTGGATCTCTATACTTGGTTTCCTTCTTTTCTCTAAGAAGGTGTGAATTTACACATTGAAGAAAAAGCAAATGTATTTAACACATTCAAGCAGTGGAAAGCAATGGTCGAAAGACAGACTGGAAAGACGGTCAAGTGCTTAAGGAATGATAATAGTGAAGAGTACACTTCAGTGGAGTTTGTGAATTTTTGCAAGAGCAACGAAATTGTTCGTTACTTCGCCACTCCAAAGACACTGCAACATAATGGAGTTGTTGAGCGCATGATCATGACAGTTCTAAAGAAGTCCCGTAGCATGTTGAGTAATGCTGGTTTGTCAAAAGACTTCTAGGCTGAGGCGGCCAATACAGTGTGTTACCTCGTCAACGGGTCACCATCTACAACAATAGATTACAAAACACCAGAAGATGTATGGTCCGGTAAACTTGCTGCTTATTCTCATTTAAGAATTTTTTGTTGTAATGCTTATGTTCATGTGAAGGATGATAAGTTGAGTCCAAGGTCAAAGAAGTATATTTTCCTTAGTTATGCGTATGGGGTTGAGGGCTATAGAATGTGGTACCCAGATCCT